GAACAAATCTTTGCGTACGAATGGTTCTTGCATGAGGCCCATTCTGTCTATTATCTGTTTAAGAAAAAGAGAATGTCTCTTTGACAAGGTAAGGCGACCTAAGTTGGCCTAAATTCAGTTCTAAGTGGAACAGAGTTTTTTTTTCTATAAAGATGTCTGAAGTCCAAGAGAGTTTCCTTGATTATTACACTCGGGGTGACCCCTACAGCAGAAAGCTTGAGAAGAAGTTAACTCTTGTCTCTGTGTGGTTCTTTTAGATTGGGCCTAGAAAAATACCCAACATTGAGTTTAGGGTGCTTGTATCTGAAGCAGTGATTGTTGTATGCAATTGTGTGAACATCTGTAGAACGAGCCTGAAGAATCTAGTCTCCAAAACACCCGCCCAGCCATAGTTCAGAATAATGATGCTGACTGTTCATTCTGTGCAGCTTCAGCTTGTCCTTCAGGAACCAGATTACAGACGGGAGTGAGAGGGGAGAAAGGTGGGGGGCAGACCCTCAGTCGACGTAAACATCCAGGAGAATTTAAGATCCACAGCTCTTCAAGGCCATGTAGGGGCTGGAGCCGAATCAGTAATCACAGTTGTTTGGGAACAGAAGAAAATGTTTTCGGTCAGGCAGACAATAATAATTTTCCATCTGCCTTAATGTCCACTGGTACATCCCAGTGTGGCGACTCCAATCAGACAAATATCCAGGGTAAAATCCAGGGTATTCTTCTTCAATTAATCCTTTCAGTATGACACGAGGATATTTAGATGTCAAAATGTTTAAAATAACTTTAAATGTCATGATTAACATGTTTTAATTTGTCCATTAAAGCAGTGTTAWAGACGAACCTTGCTTGGAATCTGGACGTCTACCAACACAATAAAAACATGCTTAWATGTTGAGGCATTGTCTGTTTGTGTTTTGGTAACTGTTTTCATTGCTGCCATAGAGACAATAAGAGCACAGAAGAATCACAGTTGCAAAGAGGGACTAAAATAGGTGACAATCTTAATATCCTTGTTAAAATATAAGTAACAAAACCATAAAAATGCTAATTAGCAAGCCGGCTGTACTTTATACTTTAGCTTTTTCCATTTCAGTTTTGTTGATACTGTCCACAGAGAAGGTTTTTACTATTCTGGACCTCACCTCTATAACATTTGTTTTATCTGTAAATGAAACCATATGTTTACTGTATAAAAACAGGCAAACATTTTTATTGCCTTTACTGTCTGACATTAAGTCAAACACAACCTTTACTGCATTAGGTCAGTTAGTATTGCTAGTTTTGTATTTGCTGAATGTCTGACTAATAAGACAACAATCAGCTCAAGTCAGTACATAATCAGAGTTGTGAATACTGACACTGACATTTTGGATTTTTTTTTCCCATTAAGACACACATGGGCCTGTCACAATAACAAATTTTTTCTGGATGATTGTCTCAGAATTTATTGCGATAAATGATAATATTGTCTGGTGACCATTTTAAACTAATATAATAGCATACCAATGWAAGTACATCCTCTCAAAAATGAACAAATTTTAGTTTTTAAAGAATGGGCTCAGTCYCTAACAAAAAATGCMCTTGAATGAAAAAAACAAAAACAGAATGGAAATTAAAAACCACACACAAGTGAAACAGTAAATAAACAATATAAAAGAGCATTGAACGCTCTGATCATTGTGGACTGTTGGGAAGACTAAGACCACCCGTCAGTTTTAGCCTTTTTTTTCCCAGCTGGGAAAACTTCATCGGATGATTATATTTTAGGTGCAAGTTTGTAGTATTGATACTTTTAGTTGCTATTTTTTTTACAACAAATTCAACATACCGGCTCACACAGGTTAAGTAGTTCACTACGGTCATTGGGTTTGAATCAAAGTGCTTCCAAACCAATTCCATTTCCATTTTTCAGAATCCCAACAACGTTTCTTTAGTTTGTTATTACTACAAACTCTCATGCTAAAGAGGTACGAGACCACACACCTAACACGAGAGGTTACTCCTCCCGATGCTAAAAAAACATGAGGGGGAGGGGTCAGTCAAGCACGCTGTGCACCGGAGCACAGAG